GTTTTGACAGTGATAAACAAAGTAAATGACTTAAGAGTATCGCGAGATTCGTAGGTAAAATATAAATTCATTTTTTAATCAACGTTGTCCTCGGCGTCGGCGTCGTGGTTTCGTAAACTCCCTATTGGCTACGCAACTCACTATCTATTCTGTGATAGATAGTGAGTAACGTAGCAGTGAACGTTTGTTAACGAACTGGCGACCGCTTCTTTGCGTTTTCGAAGTGTCTGTGAAGAGGATTTAGATAAAGTTTTGAACGACTACTAGATTTATGCTAAAACAATTAGATTATTAACTTTCGATTTCTATGCGTGATAGTTGACTCGGACTGCGCCCTCGTTAACTATCATGCGATAGAAATCTCGAGTTCATAATCTAATTGTTTACTAGTCGTGACCATTGCAGGGCCGCTCATACTCAGACCCTCCTGTTGTGATGAACCCAGTGTCTTATAATAAGGGGACGGAAAGAAAGGAAACGAAGCTAAACAAAATACTGGAAATAAGTTATAAACCAGTTCCAGTCTAAACTAAACTAAACTAAACTAAACTAAACTAAAAACAAAGGTCCAAAAAAAAAAAACCTCCCGCGTGTCCTTACCATATTTGTAGAGCATGGTGTAATGGCCATAACCCAAGATGGCTAAGCCAATGAAAACTCTCTAATTGCATTATCCAATCAGTGATCCACTTTTTAATCAAGACTTTTTAACTGAACTGTGTTATCATTTCCATCATTAAGAGAAATAAGCTAACCGGACCGTTATTTAGGATAACCCGAGTGATATTTAAGTTAATGGAAGCAGACTTTCACTGGGATTAGCCCTCAGTCTGCATTTTACTCTCAGTCTGCATTTTACCCTCAGTCTGCATTTTACCCTCAGTCTGCATTTTACCCTCAGTCTGCATTTTACCCTCAGTNACCGTTATTTAGGATAACCCGAGTGATATTTAAGTTAATGGAAGCAGACTTTCACTGGGATTAGCCCTCAGTCTGCATTTTACTCTCAGTCTGCATTTTACCCTCAGTCTGCATTTTACCCTCAGTCTGCATTTTACCCTCAGTCTGCATTTTACCCTCAGTCTACATTTTACCCTCAGTCTGCATTTTACCCTCAGTCTGCATTTTACCCTCAGTCTGCATTTGACCCTCAGTCTGCATTTTATCCTCAGTCTCCATTTTACTCGCAGTCTGTATTTTACCCTCAGTCTGCATTTTACCCTCAGTCTGCATTTTACCCTCAGTTTGCATTTTACCCTCAGTTTGCATTTTACCCTCAGTCTGCATCTTACCCTCAGTCTGCATCTTACCCTCAGTCTGCATTTTACCCTCGAGCTTTTACCCTCTGTATGCATTTTACCTTCGGTCTGCAGTCTGCAACCAGTTCCAGTTTGTTTCGCAAAATGGTGCGCGGTCACTCAGCATAAAGTGGTTACCAATCTCCAAGACACCTCACACTTCAAGATGGCGACCTTCGAGCAGTTTACCATGTGGGCCATGTGGTGATTTCGGTCTCGTCTCGCGTGCTGGAAGTCTGCGGAAAGTCGGAGAAAGCTCTACAGGTGTGAAGATCTTGGTTTATAAATGTACTTTATTGCTGTGATAGCTTTTTCAGACTGTGTTCTTACACTGCATATTTTACAAGTGTTTGCTACTTTAAAATTTCGTAGTCCGGCGTTCCCCCGTGTTATAGGGCAAAATGAGGGCTATATTAAAGCTCTGAAAATTTCATATCTAAATTACATCTCATTCTGAATATCCTAATAAAGTTAAAGGAAACGCTAATCGACTCGTGTGGTGTCTTTTCGCCCTCCTGGGCCGTCTAAAGGGTCTTTGCACGAAATTACTTTTGGTCAGAGATATGTCTTAGACAAGAGAGGGAGACAAGGCTTGCGACTTGGCGGCCCCAGCGGCAATCTTTTCCACTTCAAACTGGAATAAACGCCTAAATACTGAAAATCTCAACTGATTGGCAACGGTTATTGATCAAAATGCCACAGTTGAATTTGAGCTTCATCCCTCCAACATTTTCCAAGAAAGTCGATGCTGAAATTAGGAAAACAGCTTTCTCAATATGATCGGTGCCAAACTCGGCAACCAAAGGAATTCAAGACATGCAGGCCGTTTCAAATCTACCAATCAGTGCTTGGCTTCCCACAGCAGCCCACCGTGATGCCAAGAGCTGGTGACTGCCAAGTTGCAAGCCTTGTCTCCCTCTCTTGTCTTACTGGTCTCCAGCAAAAAGTAATTTCATAAAAGACCCTTCAGAGGGCCTAGGAAGGCAAAAAAACACCACACATGAGTCGATTAACATTTCATTTAACTTTACTCAGATAGTCAGACCAAGATGTAATTTAGATATTGAATTTTCAGAGCCCATTGTTGTATGAATTTCCATAACCATCCCTTGATGATTAGTTAATCAGTCTCTTTAAAATGGATGTGACATCATTCTATTGCTATGATAATTCAGATCTGGATGAAATGTACCTCATTTAAAACTTTCCTTTTTCCATAGTACACCGGTACGATTTAATTTTCTTTAGGATGTTGGTCCACTAAGTTCTCAGTAATAGTACTGTTTACTCAGAAATCCAATCAAGCCCCTTTAACAGCTTGTGGGGCCAAGCCTGCAAATAATTCTGTAAGCAGGTCATTTGTCCGGCCAAAGACAAGTTTTGACCTGACAAAAAGCCAGTCTGGTCAGACAATTACTTTTTTGTCATTAGAAGTTAAGAAGAAGAGACATTTGAGGCATTTTGGTATTTCAGTGTAGACCCTTCACTAAAATGTTGATTGCAAATTTGAATGGCTTAAAAGTAAAGTGAACTGAGTGTAAAATCGATACTAGCACCAGAAAGGGGACCTTTACATTAAGTCTGTCAGGTATTATTTTACCGTTGAAAATTGACAGATTTACAAACGATTATACCCCTAGTTTGCTTTCACTTACTAACTTGATCACTCATGTATTCTGAACAGCTTGGCGGTATAAAAACTCACAACAACATTCAGAGACTTGAAAATTGACTGAAAAGAATTTTTCGACTTTTTCTGAAGGCAAGTTTCCCCTGAGAATCTTCGGGGTCAATTGAATAAAAAATTTGTGTAATTTGATGAATTCGAATTGGAAGTGGTGGTGACTACAAAGCATGACTAGTTTGTATATTCACACTTTTCGCAGAAGCATGTCTGTGGCACTGAAACTAATTCAAATTATATTGAGCCGCAGATGTGAAAAAACTGTAAAGAGCTATAAAACTGATTTTTGATCATAAGGACTAGGAAAACATTTGAAAGTGATGGCATTCAGATCAACAAAACATGAGAATTTGGGTCATGTATCCAGTTTGCATATTATTTTAATCAGATCAAATTAAAACTTAATTCCGCAACACTTGCAGATAAAAAACAACAAGTAATAACATAAGACCTCAGATTTTTGAAGTTTTTCAGACAAACATAATTCCGACTAAATGAGGCTTCACGATCTTTCATGACACCACCAAAAAATGCATAAATTAACATGTACAGTGAAATCTGTGTTAAGCGGACACCCTTGGGACCCACGTAAGTGTCTGTTTAATACAGGGTGTCTGCTCAAAACAGGTTCTAATAATTATGTTGTGCAATAATAGTTAACTATTAACCCCTTTGTAACAAGGTGTATAACACAGTGTGAGATCAAAGACTGCTCATAGCACAATGTACAGTCAGTCAATGCATCAATCTGGAATAATCACTTAGCTTTAAAACAACAGCCCTGAACAATGTTAAAGGAGTCTCAGCTAAACTTTTAGAGGTAAAATGCCCTTGAAGTGTCTGCTTATTGCAGGTTTTGTGCAACAAAATGGCTTAATATTGGTGTCTGCGTCGGCTTAACAGAGGTGTCTGCTGAATGCAGGTTTATTTTACAGCAAAGGTGGTAAGAAAATTTAGGGACTCAAGCTGGTGTCCACTTAATAGAGGGTGTCTGCTTAATATGGGGTCTGCTTAATACAGGTTTCACTGTAGCTTGAATAGTGGGGCTGATGTGGCGTGTTTACAATTCAACCTGAAATTTGAGGCTACGAATTACCCGTGATAAAATTATTTCTCAGAAATGGAATAAAAACGAAACTGTGATAACAAAGCCTTTTTGCGTAGTATTGTGTGGCAGTATAATAAAATAACTTTTTCCATATTCGGCAATGAATTTCCGGTTAAAATATTTTTTGTTTAGCAGAAATGCCCAGTCAGAGTGTCCGACCAGGCTAAGCTTTTACCTGTCAAGACCTTAAATTTACCAGACAATGGTCCGATGACCGAGTATTATTTGCAGGCTTGTGAGGCCATCTATAACTAAACATTTAAAAAGATGCACAATAATAATTTAATTTCAATATTTATATGTTATTTGCTGGGAAGGAGGCCCATATAATTGCATTTACACGAGCCACTCCGGCTCTTTTAATTTGAAGTCATTTTTTCTCATTCGAGAAGACTTTTTTCACATTTTTTTTCATCATTTTACGTGATATCATTGGCTTAGAAAATTTCCTATTGTCTTTCAGCCAATCATAATCCAGAAATAGGATGTGTAATTTGCTCTGGTGTCACACTTTTTGCACTGGTGTTACACTTAAGGATGTTCGCGTTATTGTTTCTGCCCATCCTTACTGCGCACGCAAATTCACACGCCACGTCATGCATGAGAGCACGCGCTAAGTAACAAAATGAACAATGATAGGGAAGATGGCCACTGCTATAGCTTTGCCTGGATTTAACGATCTTGGATGTTCTGTGACCCCTATTTTTCTTTCCAGAAACAGATTTTATTCACAATTGTCTCCACATTGTCCAAATATGAACAAAAGAATAACGTGGGAAGTTAAAAAAAATTCAAGATTTTTGTCCACAGGACATTGAATCCTGCCATCTTGCGGCTGCAAGGGGCGTGAAACTATGGTCGCTAAATGCGAACTTGTTCTTCAAGGAACCTCACCAGTTGACTAAATTCACTTGATAGGTCCACTTGAACAATATTTGTCAGAGAACATTTCACTTCAAAGATCTAATTGCGATATTTTTGGGCCTTATTCGCTAACAAAGCCCGATTTTTCAGATTTAGGGTGTTCTTCCGGGCATGTTCTCTCTAAAACGAACTCATCATCTTACTGCGGTAAAAGTCTCAGAAAAAAATCAATGAACTGGGAAATTTTCACGCGAACGTCCTTAAACTGCACTGCTCTCAGCCAATCACAATCAAGTAATTTTTCCATGTATATTATTATCGGTGATACTGATAAGGAAGACAGAAGTGATATTTTCCTTTGTTTCAATACGTGTTTGTTTTAAATCTTACCTTAACTCTTGTTACTCTCAACACAGAAAAATAAAGTTCAGGGGACCTTCTGTTTGACACACAAGATCTGCCAAGTAACGGTGCATACAATGTATGGAATGAGGGCTCTGTCCATGTTTGTAAGCCTGCATCCCCTGCAGCATGGTCGTTTTCTGACTCAAGTGTTCCCTTCACTGGTATTTAAAGGACTTAGAAACTTCTCCCAAACTTCGTGGTCATCACCCAAGATTCTACAACAAAGTGAACCAAGAAAATTTGGCAGCTACTTTATAAGACCATTGGCTGGCTACTTTTCTTCTCAACCACGCCCATCTGAAAATGATGTTAAAATCAACAAGGAAATATTGTCTCTTAAAACAGTCAAAGAACAATTTGAGTTGTTTGACAGTATCAAGAGTTCAGTAAACATTGTGAACAGAGCAACCATGCTTTACAGCATTGCCAAGATCACCGGAAGAAACAGAAACCAGAGACTACTTTTGGAACAAGAAAAAGGCAAGTCAAGACAAGCGTTAAACAGTGCATACCTGGAATTACTGGACAGTATCTCCAAAGACATTGCCAAATGTAATCCCAGGGTTCTTGCCAATGTGATGTGGGCTTTAGGAAAACTTGAAGAGAAAAATCACGAGCTAGTTCAAGTTTGTGAGAAAGCTATTCTGTCTCGTGGTATCACATCCTTTAACAATTTACAGATTATCCAGA